GACCTGGAGCAGGAGCCCAGCCGCTCCCTGCCCCGGGCAGGGGGAGCATCAAGTCCTGGTTCATGTTTCAGGGGAGAGGGGTCTTGTAAGTCTGGACCTTAAGAAAAAGGCTGAAATAAAGAGGGTGATTTCTAACCCTGAAGCGAGCGCTTTCCCGGCCTCTCTGTCCGCGAGCTCCTGTGTCCCGAGGCCCACGTGGACCAGGATGGGAGGGAGGAGGCGGCAGGGTCCCGGACGGTGCTCCCCGCTGCTCCCCCTCCCGCCGTCTCCCCTCCTGCGCCCTCGCTCCTGACTCGGCACCGTCCCCCGTTCTACAGGGGCTCCGCGGGACGGCTACGAGGCGTGGTGTTCAGGCCGCTGCACCTGCACTCCCCCCACCCCCCCAGCTCCCGCCTGAAATAAAACGCCGCCCAGCCTGCCAGCCGGGCGCAGACACCAGCACTGGGGAAAGGCAGGCGGTAAGGACAGCGAAAACCCCGCTGTAATTACCCCGGATGAGGCAGAACTGCTAAAGGTGTGCACCGAGCTCAGCACGGCCAGGGGTGAGCCTGGGGGGGGTGCGGTGAAGGATTGAAAACAGACAAGGGATAAAGTTGGTGGGACACTGTCCTCTCAGATGGAGAGACGGCACCACGGCCCGCAAGCCGAGTCTGCATTTTATAGCAGATTCCACGAGGCAAAGCAAGGGCGTGGCCAACATGTTTAGAACGGTCTCGCGGGTTTCGAATCCACTCAATTACATGCACCTGATCGAGCTTTGTTTTGGCAGCACTGGCTGCCCCTCCCACGTCACTCAGCCACCTGGGGCCACAGGCTCAGACCATGAGGTCAGGCTCACAGCCACAGCCTTTGGCTGTAACTGTGCTGGGAGGGCTTTGCCAGGAGAGGACCGGGCCCTCTCACTGGGCTGAGGCTTGAACCTGTCCAGACGCTGTAGCCGCTCCCCACAAAGGTGCCCTGGCCAGTGCGTTCAGTGGTTAGAACGTCTACCTGCAGACTGAAGGGTCCCGGGTTTGCTCCCCGGTCAAGGGCACGTACCTTGGCTGCAGCTCAATCCCTGGCCCTGGTCGGGGGACGTGCAGGAGGCAACCAATCAATGTCTCCCCTCCACACACACACTCTGTCTAAAAGTCAATGGGAAAACGTATCCTCAGGTGAGGATTAACCAAAAACACCTAAATAAGTAAATATAAAAATCAATAAATAAACTTTTAAAAGAGGGCGAGAAAGGCTCTTTTCTCCCTGGAAGGAAGCAGCCGGCCCCCGGGCACCCACAGGCGCCCTCCCTGGCACTTGCCTCACCTGTGGCCCGGGTGCCAGCTGCCCTCGGTCCCGTGGAGGGTGCACAGTGGAGAGAGGGGGGAATGGCCGCTGCCGGCCGCCGTCTCCCTCAGAATTCCAAGAAGCCGGCGCCGATGACTCACTTCCCTGGAAAGCCTTCGCTCTGAGTCGGCTCCAACCGGACGGCTCCTCCGCCTCACGATTCTGTGACCACAGAAGGGGAAGCGGGGAGCCCCCCGTTTCCTTCCACGAGAAGTGACACCCACAGCCCAGGGGGCCAGGCTGAGAGCAACGGGGCACGGGCGGGAGACAGGCAGTCCGCCAGGAAGGGGTCCCCATCTCTGCCGGGAGACACCCCAGCTTTCCCGGCCGGAACAAGGCCCGCGCGGCACACAGAGGCCGGGATGCGCCACGTTCCCAGGCCCGGGGTGGGAGGTTGGGGGGACCACGTCTCGTGCTGTGGAACCGAGGGGGGCCTGACTGCGTGGGACCTGGGGGGGACAGCGTGGGACCGAGAAGGTGTGGTCACTCGAGCCAGAGGGCCCACCGCACAGCCGACAGTCGGGGCGTCAGCGTCTCAGGGGTCACCCTCGGCCAGGCTGTGGGAAGAGCCCCAGCGGGACCCGGCGTTGCTGGTCTCGGGGATCGCGCACCCGGGGCCACGCCGTCACCGTGAGTGGTGGAGGCCATGGCCACGGGAGGCCTGGCCACGCCTGTCAGTGGCCACCCCGTCCACCCAGCCCTTCGATGGCACTTTACTCAGAAACATGCACCCTCCTGCTCTTCCCCTCACAGCTCCTCATCCTGTGCCCACACTCCCAGCAGCACATGACTGCTGACTGACGCGTGTTCTCCGACACAGATGGTACACAGCTAGGGAAATGATACACGCCCTCATCCCTCTCCCACGGACGCGGCCACTCGTGTGCCCCTCGAAGGAGAAGACGGTCTAAAGATCCTGTAGAGCCCTGACCGGTCTGGCTCAGTGGACAGAGAGTCGGCCTGTGGACTGAAGGGTCCCAGGTTCGAGTCCGGTCAAGGGCATGGACCTGGGTTGCGGGCACATCCCCAGTGGGGGGCGTGCAGGAGGCAGCTGATCGATGTTTGACTCTCTAGCCCTCTCCCTTCCTCTCTGTAAAAAATCAATAAAATTTATTTTTTAAAAAAAGTCTTCCTGGGTTTGCTGGGGCCACTGGCCGAACCAGCAACTAAGCGAGCGGCTCCTGCCTGGACCTTCCTCCCAGCTGCTCCTTCTGGAAATTTCCAAACCCGCGGAGACGTCAAAGGGGCAGCAGCGCCCGGCGGGCAGGCTCCACGGCTGGGCGTCCA